CAAGGATGCCACAGAAAAAGTCTTCAAAAACTTCATGGGAATTATGTCAACTAATAAGAACACGATTATAAATTATGTCTTGCTGTTAATGATGATTTTATCTAAATGTCTTATATTCTCACAATGGAATATTTATATCATATGCGAAAACTCTGCCTTATATGAGAAGAGGAAAGAATCTTCTATGTGATCTTCCAGGCATCACAACAACCAATGTCAAAGCTTTGTCTGAAAAATCTAATGGAGAAATCACATTCCTCAAGTCAGACTTGAGATGCAGACTATGCATTGCAATTTTCTACAGAGAGTTGCAGGACCAAGGTAATACATGCCAGTCTTGCTCCTATACATTCTTGTATTCCTATCCCACAGACTTCTTGAGAGACTTAGCAGTGATATTGACTGAGACACTTTGTGTCAGGATCTTCCCACTCTTAGTCATTTCCCCTCTCCCTCCTTCCAGCCAAATTCCATGTGTGCTAAACCCTCCTCACTCTTCCCAGGCCTGTTTCTTGAGGGAGATTTGAACAACAGGAAATAGGCATCTCATTGGTCTTGTGGTTCAACTGTTCAGGATATGAATAAAAGTTTGATGATGACATTTGGCTTCACTCATTGTCCTATTTTACCAATTCAACTCATGGCAGCTCTGTAGCAACACATCTATGATAAAGCTCCTAGTCCCTCACAATTGATCAACCATGCTTCTCTTTTCCAAGTAGGCTTCATTATGTCTCATATCTAAAGTTATGTTAGATATGAAACAGTGGTATTGATAAAAAGATAAAAGGACCAATGTAAAAAATATGAAGTTTAGAAATCTTGATATATCATAGATGGAAAGGAAAATAAAGGAAATGGGAGATTTGCAAAAAAAAATAAACAAATAAGGTAGAAAGGAAATAAATACAATAAACTTTAACAGCAACTCCTAGAATAAGTTGCAGAATTACTCAGAAATGGTAGAAAAATTAGAATAAAGACAAACTATAAACATGATAGCCATGCCTTTTTAATCTTGTGAATATTGAGAGTGTAAGAAATAAATTCTCAAAAATATAGCCATGAACTGCGTACACAATATCAGAAGTCCAATTATAAAACCAACTAATGACATATCATCTCTAATCTGGAATTAAAAGTTGTCTCACATCAAATTAAAAGAACAAACAAAAGAAAAGACTGAACTTACATACCAGGCCCTCTATCTTGGAGTAAAGAATTAAGCAAGTTACCCATTTCAGTACAACTAATGGTGTTGTATTTCAATGAAATACATTAAGATGATTATGTGGTTAGCACATGAACCTCCCATTTAAAATATGCCCCAACATTCTATGATGTTATTGCTCAAAGATATTGAATAAATTGCTGTAAAATTAGAATTACTCAATAACTACTACAAAAATTCATGAAGTGGTGTCAGTGGACAAGAAAGAGAATAATGATTTCTCAAAATTTGTTTTGGCATCAGGGAAAATGCGCCATGTATGTGAGAGGAATTACTGAGCGATTAACCATGGGTAAATATGATAGTGGGGCAGAGGGAAAGAACAAAGAAAACAGCAAAAGAAAAAGAAAGTAAAAATTATCTATATATAAATATATATGTAAATAAATAGATATATAAAGATATGTGTATTTCTATGTGTATACAATAAGGAAGCAGATGAACTTTGGGCCTCTACTTAAAGTTTACCTCAGTACAAGAATGGTTTGTTCAAATAATGTGGGGTTGTGTGATATCTTCCCAACATGATCACTGAAGACAAAATGGGTGCATAAGCAAATATGGTGAAGAAAGCTGATGTAGCCTAGCTATTGAAAAATATAGCATCTGGAGTCTTAAAGACTTGAAGTTAAGCAGTCATTTAGCAGGGAAGTAACAAAGCCCACATGGAAGAACTACACCAGCCTATGTGATCATGAGATGTCAACGGGAATAGATATCAAAATTCAAAAACAAGCAATCAAATTGACATGAAGGAGTGGGGACAAAGTGGAGACCCCAAACCCATCAGTTTCTTTCAGAAAGGCCACACAGAAGGGATGATATATCCAGGGTGCAAAAGAACACTGATGAAATACATAACTGTTTTCTAGTTCTTTAATATTTCCTCTCCTTACCATTAAGGCCTTAGTTTCACCTCAGTCTTGTAAGACCTGTGTAAGTTCATTTGTATAGTTAAAGTTGTTCTATGCATGGTGAACTTTTGAAACCTCTCTCATCTAGCAAATATTCTTTGCCAAAACCGCAATTAAGAATTTTCTTTGATTTTTCATATTTTTAGTCCAGATTTTGCATGCATATAAGGTGATTGAAATTACCATGACTTGTTTTGGTCACTACTTAATTTTGAAAGTGGCACTTGTGCTTTTAAACCATTTAAAGAGGTCTTTTGCAGCAGATTTGCCAATGCAGTATGTCATTTGATGTGTTGTCTACTGTTTTCATGGGTCTTACTTTTGGATCTAAGTAAACTGAAAATATACAAGGGGACATCAAATAGTTTGTTAAAAATATCATTAAGATCTTTTCCATTTTCCATGGCTTTTTGAACTCCTTCATATAGTGCCAACTAATTTTTACCTTAAGTCTGGCTTATAAAGCTGACTGAATTATTGTATTTCATCTTTCTGCTCTTAAGATTTCTTCATATCTCAAATTTACTTCCCCTGAACTCCTAATAATCTCAAAAAGCAAATCATAATTTGAGATGTCCTGGTTCTTTTCCTCAAGTACCTGTTGGATTATTCCTTGGGGATAACTTCTCAATAGATAACTGAATATATTCCGCTTGTCCTTGAGCATAGAGTGTCTCTTGCAACAGAGGCTAGGTCTCAGAGGTATGAGGACTTCTCTGTGGGTCTTCTATAGCATTGCGCTGGGATTGGCTCAGATTGATAGGCCTGACAAAAGCAGTAGCTAAAGGCAAGTGATGACAACAATTTAACTAGAAATACCTTCCCAAGATTCAAAACCTGATAGAAAAGACTTATGCTATTTATTGCCCTTATATTCCATCTTCCACTTTCCAGTTATTATATTCTGTCTCTGTGGGCGAGTTTCTTTTTCTGAATTGGAATCTGTATCTGGTGGAGGGTCTGAGAGGAGCAGAAGATCTTAACCCTTCATCTCTCAGTAACCAACTATCTTTTGGCGCACCACTAACCTTCTCTGGACTCAGATTTCTTTATGAACAAAATGAGCAATGGACTAGAGGCCTGTTATTTGAAGCTGGAACACATTCACAGGTAACCTAATACCATCTTCTTAATTGTATCTGAAGAAATTAGTGGTGAAAATAAAATTAGAACAGAATTTCCAGGCTCCCTTTTATAAACAAAGTTATTTTACATTGTTTGGTTTTTAGAACTGAGACATATCCAGCATTTGGAAGTTCTCTCTCTCTCTCTCTCTCTCTCTCTCTCTGTGTGTGTGTGTGTGTGTGATGTGCATGTGAACCTGTTTTGAATAGGGGAATTTATAAGGTATGGGGAACAAGTCCAACATAGCACATTCTAATGCCTTGTATAGCTTTAGCATATTATCCATAGTAGTATATCCATATCCATATCCATATCCATAGTAGTATCCAGAGTAGTGTATAATCCATAGCCACAGAGACTATAGCTCATATCCTACTGTCTGAAAAATAATCTTCATTTTTAGGGGCATTAAATATTTTGGTCACCTTTTTGTACATTTTTATTTTCTATTCTTTAAATCACTTTTATTCTCATCTCTTCCATTTAGACACTGGGAATGAGTAGTCATTGATCATAGAAGGCTAAGTTGTAACAAATGCATATTTGGTTCTAACAGAGGTTATTTTAGCCTACTTTTAAAGACACTTGGTATTTCATTAATGCTTTTCCTGTGTATTCACTAACCTTTTAAGAAAATTTAAAATTATTTCTTTATTGAAAAGGAAAAATTCATTTAAATGAGTGATATTTATATAATCCAACAAAATGTGCACATGATTGGAAGTAACTTTCCTATTATAATAATACTCATTTGTTGACTTACATAGATTAAAATGATGCAAATCATTCACATTTAGAAAATTACTTTATTAATTATTTCCTCCAGACGTTCCCTCATTTCTGACATTAATTTTACATCTCAAAAATCCAATTGTGTACCTCTATCTTAACAGAGCTAGTTCACAGGTACTGGCTACCATATATCTTTGTTTACTCTTTCCCATACTTTGAAGAAAGTCCTTCACAAAGAGAATAATGTATTTTTCACGATAATTCAATGAAAAACTAACATTTTTTACCCCAAATTATAATTGAAATGCCATTTGAAGTAAATGATAGCTATTTTTAGATTGTATGCTATATTTTTAAACGCCAATCTCATGATTTCCACCTATTACAAAGAATCCAAAGCTAGTTTTCACTTTTGTCCTTAGGTTTTTAGGAAACTTAAAAACTTACTGAAGATACTCGTATATTAACTTTTATAGCTCCTTTGAGCTCTATTTTTTTTGTCAGCTCATGCCACTTTTCACAAGACATATTCATATATGTCAGCAACCACTCCTAGAGAATTCATCACTTTCCTCATTCATTATTTAATTTATTTTTAAATTTTAAATAGTTTATTGGTACACACTTCACATATAATGCAATTTAATCATTCCATCATATGGAGGGGATTTTAATAACTATGAGGTTTAGTGCTCTTAACAAAGGTTTTAATTTCTATGCTTTCTAAAGGGTAAGCACCCATTTTCCTCTAACACACACACACACACACACACACACACACGAATTGGGCTTGTAAAAATATTTTACAAAAACTCATTTTCATACTTCCCTTAAATAAATTTCCAAATACTCCATATCACATAGGAACATTTTCATTCAAGTTTTTAATTCCTATGGGAAAATGAGGAAGCAATTGCCCTTCTCTTTTCCCATCCATATTTTCTCTTTGACTAGGTATCAGCATCAGTGGTAAAGAAAGTAAGTATTCACCAGCCTCAATGGGATTCAGCAACACATCGTATCTGAATCCCAGGACAGTGATCCTGATTGGCATCCCTGGATTAGAGCATGTGCAATTTTGGATTGGATTTCCCTTCTTTGCTGTGTGCTTGTTGGCTCTGGTTGGTAATATCTTCTTACTAATCATCATCCCAACAGAACGCACCCTGCATCAACCTATGTACATCTTTCTGGCGGTACTGGCAGCCACTGATCTAGGGCTCTGTATGGCCATTGCTCCAAAGATGTTGGCTATTTTCTGGTTTGGTTTTTGCTCCATGGCATTTGATGCCTGCCTTACCCAACTCTTCTTTATCCATGCCTTACAGGGTACGGAATCTGGCATTCTTCTGGCCATGGCCTTTGACCGCTATGTTGCCATCTGTGATCCATTGAGGCACACATCCATTTTAACACCTTATGTTTTAGTTAAGATGGTGATGGTAGTAGCAATCCGGGCAACAATGCTTGTTGGCATTTTACCCATTCTACTCAAAAGATTGCAACTTTTCCAATCTGTGATCATTGTTCATTCTTATTGTGAGCATATGGCTGTGGTCAAGCTGGCTGCTGAAGACGTCCATGTCAACACATCATACGGGCTTTTTGTGGCATTTGCAATTCTAGGTTTTGACATGATGTTTGTTTTCATCTCTTACATTCTGATTTTCCGAGCTGTTTTCCGCCTTCCCCAGAAGGAAGCACGACTCAAAGCATTCAACACTTGTACTGCTCATATTGTTGTATTTCTTGAGTTTTATATCCTTGCTTTTTTTTCCTTCTTTAGCCATCGTTTCGGTCATGTGTCACCCTATGTCCACATTCTCTTGTCTACCATCTATCTACTTGTGCCGCCAGCTCTTAACCCCATTGTCTATGGAGTAAAGACCAAGGAGATCCGCAGGCGGGTGTCTCAGATTTTTATTTTTAATACACAACACTGATCTAACATTTGATATGTCATGGAGAAAAGTATATTTATGTATTTAATATGAAGACCCCTTGCGTTATGTGTAAATTTGTAGCCATTTTGTTGAATTTTTACATGACAATCGAATTTATGTTCCCAAAGCAAGAACTTATCATTGGGTGAGAATAATGCATGTATCTCAAAGATTTTCCATTTTGTTTCCATTATGCTTACATTTATTTTTTTCCTCCCTTATATATATATTTTTTCCTGTATTTTCCCCCCTGGCTTCTTGGTTTCAGTCTGTTATGTATCTTACACATTACCAAGGGGCAGTTTATGCTTTGAAAGTGTAACCATGAAAAAGACAGTCTACCATCTCTAAAAGTTGACAGTACAGCAAAACATCAGTGAGGGACAGATGTATTTTGATGCAATTCAAGCAAGTAAAACAGAAACAGCTACTAGGCCTGCTGTCTTAGTGGGTTGTGCTTTGGACTGCTACCTGAAAAGGCAGCAGTTCAAACCCACCAGTTGCTCCATTGAAGAAAGATGAGGTTTTCTGTTCCCATAAAGATTCACAGTTTTGGAAACCCAGAAGGGCAGTTCAACTATGTCTGGTAGGGTCACTGTAAGTTGCAATCAACTCAATGACAGACACTTTTGTTTTCTTAGAGAAAGTAGTAACAAGGAGTACACTAATCTAGATTTTTAATAGGATAATTAATAACCTTGTAAAGAAAGTCCTGACACACATGGAATTGAAATAGTTCATTTGACTTCAAAGGGTTAAACATTATTCCCCTTATGTTTAATTCCTGTTTCTAAACTATTAAGATTAGAACTCATGCAACTTATAAGGCTCAGTCCATTTCATCAGTCATCAAAATGTATAATTCATTCTGCAGTAGGGGAATATGTATTAATACCACAATTATGTGCCACTTGAGATCATTAATCCTTGTGATCACTGAGAAATGTGAGCTGAAATTTTGGCCACTTCTGGTAGAATAAATATATATATTTATCACTATATTTATAGTGATAAATATATATATATACATACATATATATGACTGAATCATAAATATATATGACTTAGCATACAAGACCAAGAGTCTAGAAGCTAAAACCAAGAATTGCAGAGAAACTTAGAATCATCCTATGGATCAAGATAGTATCTAATCCACAAGCTAACAGCATATGCTTACCTGGATTTCAGAATTCTATAAGCCAATGACTCATATGCTTCATTTTATCTCTTTCTGGGAGTGGAAGCAATTTTTAAGTCTTCCTATCACTGTATTCCCAAAGCATGAGCAGCATGTGTGTGAAGGAGCAGGACGGTTCAGTTACCTGATCTCTGTAATTAATAGCTTAGAGAGAGTAGAAGCATATTATAGGAACTACATGCAAGGAACCATGTTCAATAAAGTTCATCTATATCTGTAGCTAATTTACCAATACCTATGCCTTCAAGTCAATTTTCACTTCCTGCTCTCCTGTAGGGCAGAAGAGAACTATTGTTTAGAGTGAAGCTATAAATACATGTTGGAGCAGAAAGCTCTGGTGGGTTGAACTTTATGACCTTGTGATTAACAGCCCAATGCATAAATTCTGGACTGATGTTATAAGGGGATAATATAATAAAAGTTCAGGGGAGGCACATGTATATGATATGAGTGGTGTGAATTTCATAAGCACAGGATTATGGTGGATTAGATTTTTCAGAAATGACATAATAATATCTTCTGAGCAACATGACCTTCCTCAATGGAATTAACAAAAAGTGGAGTCTCACAATTCTTTGAATTTGGGAGATTATGTCACTGTTTTAAAAAAATAAAATACTCTGAAGACAATACTACACCAAATCTGAGTAATCTGACCCAGAAACTTTTTCTTCCTACCCCTTGAAGATTAAAAAAAAAAATGCTTGTTAATTTGGTGTCAAGAGCTCTGAGGCTCTGGAATTGTCAATAAAGAAATCATCATAGATTTCTATCATTGTTGAGTTTTTAGCTGATGCCACCACTTGTGACTTTTTGTCTTGCAACTGTGAGGACCTCAAATCAAAACACTAAACTGAGTCAGTTCACTCACAGGAACTGTGAAAGATAATAACAAAATGCTTCGTTGGGGTATTTGATTAACTCCCTGTTTAAGGGTTGTTGGTTACACAGCTAAATAAAGTTTGTAATGTTAAACCCTCACAACAGGAGGGAGACTGGGGGAAAGATGGGGAGCACTGAGCTTCTGCAAAGATTGCTAAACATATTGGGATTGGAGAGGGATGATGGTTGAACAAAATGATGAACGCAATCAATGTCAATGAGCTGCACTATATTGAAAAAGTAAATGTATTACCACAGTTTTCAAAAAGTCAAAGAGGCTTTCTTCCAGAGGGAACATGTTGATCTACTGAAGGATACAGAATTAGCCATAAATGATATTCAGAAGGAGAGTTGAAGGTTTATCATTATGAGACAAACCTGGATGAAGGGGGACATTAGCTAGGAGAACAAAATGCTCTCACTCCCTCCTGTCTTCTTTCCTCCTTGCCCTTTTCCTTTCCTTTAATTAATTTAGTGGAATGGACTGATTTGCAAGTCTACACATTGCTTTACATTCAAATTTTTCACCACAGCAGCTAACAGAAATGGGACTTTAGGAACAAATACTTACTTAACTTGTATTATATGCCATGGAAAGTCTCCAAAAAAATAATAAAACAAAATTAAAACTCATTGCGATCTAGTCGATGCTGTCTCACAGTGAACTCACAATTTGGAACTGTCCTTGTGGGTACCTCTTTATGGGAGTAGAAAGCCCCATCTTTTTCCCTCAGAGAGGCTGGTGGTTTCAAACTGTCGACCTCACGGTTAGCAGCTCAATGTGTAACCACTGCTCACCAGAGCTCACGATGGAAATGCTGGCTACCACAAAGAAGAACGAGGAATTCATTTATGTAGAAAAAGGTCATGTGAAGAGGCAAATATAAGATATAATGAAAATGTAATGATTAAGTAAAACAAGAGTGACATGGGGATTATTGAAAAGAAATCCAATGTCAGAGACTGGTGAGATCAGAGCACTGATGGTGTTCTCTGTAAGTGTTGGACTGCTACCTGCAAGGTTGGCAGCTCAAATTCATGAGCCACCATAAGGAAGAAAGATGCTGTGTCTACTCCAATAATAATGTACAAGCCTGGATACTTTATATCAAATCAATAAAACAATGACTTGATAACTGTGGGTTTTTTGAAGATGTGAGTTATCAGAGAAGTTTTAATAGAGAAAATATTGCATATGATGAATTGAAAAAGTTGAATAAGAGTATATTGTAACAGTATTCCTCAATAGGTCATTATACATATTTTTAAAGCAAATATATGCTCCTGAAAATTGGGGCAGGTGAACTCTAAAGAGACTACTTTGCATGTGAATTCATATAATTACATATATGCATAAGACATATATTCACATGTAAACATGCTTGTGGATGTATGCAGATTGAAAGTGATCTATATGCATGCATATTAATGTGAGTAAGATAAAGTGTGAATAAATAATTTATGTGTATGTATATTTGTGCCAAATACACCTTGGGAGATATGTATACTATGATTATTACCTGGTAGAAGAACGAGTATGTTTTATATATCTAGCTCTTATAGTTTATGTATGTGACCTTTTAGTGTTTAAAAATTAAATGAAGGTTTAGCATCTGCTTATCTCAGTGAAACCCCAGCATCTGAGCATGGACTTTTGCTTCAATGGCCATGGCAGTGCAAGAGCAATGGCAATGCAAGCATCCGAATAACTGACTGAAATAAACACACTGCCAATGAGTCGATTGTTAATTATAGAAGCTTTAGAGCTTAAAGCAGAGTTGCTCCTAGGTTTTGGAGACTATAAATCTTTCCAGGAGGAGACGGCTGATTGACTTGAACTGCTGATCCAGCAACCCAGTGTGTAACAGGACAAGTAAAAGACGACGAGACCAAAGAAAACCCATGTGCTCTGTGAGTACAGGGACAGAATGTTGGATAGCGTTCAACTGTAGGCTGAAAAAAATGGTAAATGAAATCAAATGTCTTTGACATGGGAAAGATTTTGATTGAGGAACCTTACAAATATCAAGGAGAATTAAGCAGAGTAGCAAGTGATGACTTAATTTCTTTCTAAACATAGTATTCAGATTAGGTTTAATTCTTGTCTGTACTATGGGTTAAGTGAGAGTAAAATGCCTGCCAGGGCAAATTGGAATCAAGTAATCTAATATATGCATGTTTTGCCATAGAATTAGAACTTTATATATAGCAGGAGACTGTTGAAGATTTTATGTGAACACAATGCTTTTTTCTGTTTGGGAAAGACAACTCTAGGTACAGCAATAAAAATATCTTTGAATAGCATGGCTATAGTAGATACGTAGGCTAGTTAGAATAATTTTGCAATACAGAAATTGAAAATGAAAATGATCTATGGTAAGGCAAAGAGTGAAAATGAAGTGGAATAAGCTTATTTAAAATTTTTCAGATAAATCTTGGTTCTCAATTGAATAAATAAGGAAATAAAATAATTAAGATTTTATATTAGATTTCTTAACTAAACTCAAATAAACAGAGGACCATCAGGTTGGTAAGGAGACTCGAAGTTTAGTGCATGGTGCCTATGAACTTCATGAGGTAGTTATAAACGTAACTAATGGTTTTAAATACAGATTTGAGTGCCTTAAAATGTCAGGAATATGTAAGATTATGTTAGGAATATGTAAAAGTAAAGCAACGGAATTGATCATCATTATTTTACATCTCTAAGTGTTCATTTCCACAATGTCTGCATCTCAGGTCTAATGTACTATATATCTGGTGCCATATTATGGCACTAATAATAGCAACTCCCTAAGACGATCTTTTCCTATTAAAATTTCAAACAGCAAAGGAGAATTTACTATTATTGTTATAGTCATGGATATTGAGATAGTTAATGTTTATTGTGCCAGAGTGACTGATAAACACATGTGGGGTTAACTGAAGGGTGGGAGGGATAAATGGCTCGGTGAGCCTCACCTTTCTAGTTCTCAGATCTCCTGCTTTGCGATGGTCGGACCAGGTTGCAGTTGCCTTAGCCAGTTCCCTGCTTCAGCTTGCAAGGCTTACTTCCTGCAAGACAACCTGAGGAGAAGCCGCATGGACCTACCCTGATGGGGCCCTGGGTGTTGGAGCAGTAGGTGGAGACCTCTGCCAGTGCTGAGATGCTTACACATTCACTGACTCGGCTTTCCTCCTACAGTTGGTGTCGTTGCGTGTTTTGTGAGATGGAGGAGGACTTTGTGGATTGATGTCAGACATATGGGCTAATGTTGGACTTGTGGTCCTGGGCAGCACTGGGTTGGGATGTTTTCTTGATGTGCACTTACCCTTTATATAAAACGCTCTCTCATACAAATGAATTTCTGTGGATTTATTTCTCTAAAATACCCAGACTAACACAGAGAGTTATGTCTTTATTTTCATTAACATATTATTCCATAATACATACTTTGTTAGTCAAGTATTAAAATAAAAAAGAACAAAAATAAACAAAATAAACTGGATGATTATTTTTCCATCAATATTGAGAGTGTATACTGAACTGTTTTTAACCTCAACTCATTTAAAAGTATGCTTCTAAATTAAGCAATGTATACAGCTAGACCATTGCACCAATTAAAAATAAAATTCTCTCCAAGAACTCACAAACCCAGCAGGAACTATCCCATCTTCAAACTAACATAAACTCTAGACCCACAACCCCCTAATATTTGTCCACCTAAGGTATCAAGTTCAGTCTTTACGACAGTGGAAGAATCGCAGCACTCTTTCCCTCATCTGTTTAGTCCGAGCCCCATAAATTAAGGGATTGACCATGGGAGGCACCAGGAAGTATAGGTTGTCAATAATGATTTGCAGATGAGGAGCCACGTGGTAGCCACAGATCTGTGCCAGGACAGAGAAGACAACAGGACAATAAAAGAGGGCAATGATGCAGAGATGAGAGCCACATGTGCTAAGAGCTTTGCCCCGCGCCTCCCAAGATGGTATTCGAAAGACAACACCAAGGATCATGCCATAGGACAGAATGATAAAAAAGAGATCAAATCCCACCGATGAGACGATCACCATGATACCATAGACGATGTGATTAGAAATGTCTCCACAGGCTATTTTTACCACAGCCATGTAAGCACAGTAGGAGTAAGCAATAACATCGGTTTGGAAGCTGTCCAGTCTTTTTGCCAAGACGGGTGCTGGAGTCAGCACTGCCACTGCCCTTGCCAGAACAGCCAGGGCCATCTTCACAAGCATGTTCTTCTCTAGGATCGTTGTATATCGCAGAGGGTTCCAGATAGCCACAAATCTGTCAAAAGCCATGGCTAAGAGAATCCCAGACTCCATGACATAAAAAGAGGGAATGAAAAACATCTGGGTGAGGCAGGAATTAACGTTGATTTCCTTGGCATCCATCCAGAAGATAGCTAGCATCCGGGGTACCGTGACACTGACCAGGAACAGGTCAATCACTGACAGCATCGCCAGGAGGAGAAACATGGGCTCATGAAGACTCTTCTCCTCCCAGATGACATATAAAATGGTGACATTACCAGTGATTGTAATAATAAATACCAAGAAAAAAGGCACAGAGAACCAGCCATGGGAAGATTCCAGGCCAGGAATTCCAGCAAGAATAAAAATTAAAGGCTGGGGAATGGAGTTGTTGCACGAGGCCATCCCTAACCTGAGCTCTTCAAAGCCTGGTTCCTAGGGGGGAAGAAAAGGGACGCTTTGAAATTACTGCATCATTTCCCCCTAAAAAGGTGATCTATAATAATTGGTCATTATAATTGTGCTGCATAGACGAAGATCAAGTGAAGGCCACAGCGATTTGGAATGTGGAGGAAGAGTTTTCGAGTTGACTGCATCTGCAAATCGAGACAAAGGGAAGGCTTTCCGGTCCTGTGAACAGGTACAGGCTGGAAAATCACAGCGGCAGTTCTGCCCTGTGTGTCCTAGAGCGTCGCTGTGAGGACGCATCCCCTGGATAGCAGTGAGTTAGGTTTTAGTTTTGGTTTAAATCAGAAAAAGGGAAAAGCTGTTTCAGGAATGAATTCTCACTCAAGTAAGTGTATTGTGTCAAGTCACATTTAGTTGTGATATTGGTTACTATTCAATTCAATGTAATTCCGTTGTTGTTGTTGTTGTTTTCCTCAAAGACAGAAGGATCTGGTAACATTTTCAACATTTCTGGGTTGACAGGAACAAGATAGAAATGATTGTTTGCACACAAGACAAGGAAACAGATGTAATCAATCCCAAGATCTCAGATCCTGAGATTGACCTTGGTGCCTACGATTATTCCCTGACGTGCTTCCCCACTCCTGCCAAAAATTCACTGCCATTGAGTCCGTTCCAAGTCATAGAGAGTCCTAAGGACAAGGTAGAATTGTCCCTGGTGGAAGTGCCTGACTGTAACTCTTTATGGGCCTAGAAGCCTCATCTGTCTCCTGTGGAGTGGCTGGTGGCTTCTTAAGCCAACCTTTTCAAACTCAAAACCACGAAGCCACAGGGGTTCCTTCCTGAGGTGATTTTGACAATGGAGCTAGAAAATCTACTGATCTAAAGAGGAAAAGCATGACAGGAAACACAAAGCAATAAGTAATACAAATCTATTAATTGACAGAACTGGAATCCTATAATGCCTCAACATATAGTTATTTAGAATGAGCAAAAATCAAACCACAGTCATTAATTCTGACTCATGGTGACCTCAAGTCAAGGTAGAACTATTCCAGACTGTAACTCTATAGGAGTAGAAAGTCACATCTTTCTCTCCCATGGAGCAGTTGGTGAGTTTGAGCTGCTGACCTTTCAGGTGATAGCTCGACATGGAACCACTAAGCCACCAGGGCTCTATTTAGAATTAAAGCATCAGATTAATCAATAAAGTTTAATTGAGGAGTAGATAAAAGTAAAAACCTGTGTTTACAGGTATTTATGTGTTTTTATATGGGGAGTATGGTTATGGGCTACTATTAATAATCAATTATTAATATTAATAATTTTCTTCATTGAAAATGGAATTTATTGGATTTATTAAACATTTTAACATACAGAACTATTGTGAGTAGAAATACTTGGTAGAATTAGGAAACTACAATAGAGCTTATAGATTATACTTAATATAATAAGAACAGAAACCAAATAAATGTATACTAAACCAAAACAAAAATAAGGTTATAATAATAGTATCTATTTCATTAGTTATATAAGTGGAATTAAATATCACAATTAAGATGAGATTACTGATTTAGTTAGAAACATTCCAGGTGAATACTGTTTGTGAAGGCAATCACATGCAAAAATGAATTTCAAGAAAATTCACTGGCACCCAGGCTGGTGGGGAGAATAAAAGGTATACTGTATATTCCTCATTTAAGGCTCCCTGGTCCCCGTATCAGCTGGTGATGCATTGGGCTGGTATTTGAAAGATCCGCAGTTTAGCACCGTCAGCAGCTCTGCAGGAGAAAGAAGGGGAGTCTCTCCTCCGGTAGATAGTTACTGTCTCGGGGGCTCTCAGAAGCAGTTCTGTCCTGCCTTAGAGCCACGAGGGGCCAGGACCGACTCCGTGGCAGTGAGTTGGTTTTGGTTTTGGTGCCACAACCCACCGACAACTCTAGGAGAAATCACCTGGTGATCTGCTCCCATGAAGAGGAAAACAAAAGCAAACCATGGCCACTCTATTGTAGTCCATTGTGCTATAGGGAAGAGTGTGGTTACACAGTGTCCTGAGATCCACATGGTCTGTGGTTTGAAACCATTCTTGAAAAAAAGGTGGCTTGCTGTTCCCATAAACAGTGATTATCTTAGAAACCCACAAGAGCAATTCTATCCTGTCCTATAGGCACGCTATGATTCAGCATCGACTCCATAGCTGGGGAGATTACTGCTCCATAGGGTTTCCATGGCTACAGTCTGTACAGAAGCAGTCTGGCATATCTAGCTCCTGAAAAATAGTTGTTGGTCTGAACTGTAGACATTTTATTGAGAAGCCAGCACTTCACCACTGTGCCACCAGGGTTCCTGTTCTAAAAATTACAACCCCTGAAATCATGTGAGGACTTTTACTATGTGGAATGGGCTCAATGGGATACAGTGCTGAGAACAATAACAACAACAACAACAACAACAGCAACAAAACTAGCCACCTTTTGCTTTAGTTGTTGATGAATTTGGATTATTAGTCTCTTTACTTATATATATACTAACTAAATTCAACACTCTGGAAAAAATTCACAATTTATTTTTAACTCCAATATATTATTTTTAAGTTCTTTCTGGGAATACCCAAAACTAAAATTGGGATTATATTATACAAAATATGAAAATATTTTACAAATTGATATTTTTTTAAATATTTAAGTTCCCCAAGTGAATGGCTTATATGCTGAAATACTACTCTAGCATTAATATGTAATGCATTGAATTATTCTGGTCTATATTCCTAAAGTTTAAATTGCATTATGTATAAGTTACCGTATACCTCAGGTGGAGTGGGATCATCAGGAAGCTGACACGTCATAATGAAGAAAATAACCAGTGGTTTTATATAAGACATCTGTGGGATATAATCTCAGCCCTGACACTTACATGTGAATTACAGGAGCTTTAATCACCATGACAATGTTTTGTCTGACCTTTCAGAAACAATTGCCAGCAAGAACCAACAATTGTGTCATATTAACTATATGTAAACTTAACTCCCATCCAGAAAAAATGCAGAAAATTATTTATCACTTTTTAAAAAACGTCACTGAGAATTCTAAAGATTACAGATCTCAGCTCTGGCCTTCGCATGAGTTAATGACTTCTGTCTAGTTTAAAATATTGACAACCTTTTCATCCCACCTGTCTCTGCATTCCAGAATTTTAAAAATGTTCCTACTTTTAAATTTTACCTCTTTCCTGGAGTACCTTCTGCTGGTTATGATTCCTGTCACAATTAAACAAGTGTGCACTCGAGACAGGCAGGATTACTGATGTGCAGAATACGATGGAGAGTCTGAGCTCTGGGCTGATTTATGCTGGAAAAGCCTGCCCTCCTGGGACCCTCCGTAGCCAATAGGCTTTCATAGCTTGGATATTCTAGAGAAGAATCTCAGAGCCAATCACTCAGGGTAACACATGTTACATGTGAGTGAGATTAAATATTTAGAGATATTGTCAAAAAGAAGCTTTGGTGTGTTGTTTGAGTTGAAAGTGCATTGCTTAGAAACTCTAGTGAATTAGAGACTCGTGGCAAGGAGAATTAAAGAAGCATGGGGTAATACTTGCGAGAACTTGGTAAGGTTCTGAGACAGGAAGAGCAAGGTCCAAGCAAACCTTTCTAAAGCAGGATTTTAAGATATATTGATATGAGCAATCAAAATGTGCTTCTACATCTCACTCTCTGAGTTGATTCCAACTTACAGTGCGACTCATAGGGAGAGAGCGGAACTGCTCATTGTGAGTTTCTGAGACTGTAACTCCACTGGAATAGAAAGCCTGGGCTTTCTCTTGCAGAGCAGTTGGTGGTTTTGAACTGCTGACCTTGTGGTTAGCAGCACAATGTGCAACCACTATGCCACCAAGGATCTGTATGCTTATACATAGTGGCAAGGAAATTAGACGGCGGTGATAAAGGAACATAGGATATAAATTGGGAACTTGGACCTCTTGACAAATAGTGAGAGATAAATGTATCTGTATTCTTGCCTGTGTTATAATTGGAGCCCTGGTGGTATATTGGGTCAAATGTTGGGCTGCTGATCAAAAGGGCAGCAGTTCGAAACCACCAGCCCCTCCACAGGAGAAAGGTAAGGCTTTCGGCTCCCGTCAAGAGTGACAGCCTCAACCACCCACAGGGACAGTTCTACCTTGTGCGAAAGAGTCACTGTGAATCAGAACTGACTTGATGGCAGTGAGTTTGGTCTGGCTATCATTATAATTTCATTAAATTGTTATGTCTTGCTCCTACATCAGTAGTTTAAATTATTTTAAATTCCAATTCCAGTGACCTCAGCGTTTCCATTAGAAAACAATTGAAATTCAGATTTATTTATTTGATAATTGAGATTAAACTGAAATCAAAACCAAATCTATTGCAAACAGGTTAATTCTGAAACATAGCATAGCACATAGAACTGCCCCATGCATTTTCTGTGGCTGTAAATCTTTATGAAACCAGACAGCCTTATCTTTCTTCCACTGAGTGGCTGGTAGATTTGACCCACTGACACAGTGATTAGTAACACAATGTTTCTCCTGCAGTGCTACCAGGACTCTTTTTAGTGGAGCTAGAGATATTCTGATTCACAAAAATATGGGTAGAAACTTAATTCATTTTATATACACATATATTTAAAGAAGATATAGAAAGAGATTGAAAAAGGATCGAAGGAGAAACTATAGTAGAAGACTTTTATCGTATAATACTAGGCACAGATTCAATAGGAAGTGGCGCCTCAGACGGTCAGAACTCCAGCAGGGCAGTCCTACCCTGTCCTATAAGGTTGATGTGAAACAGAATTAACTCAATGGCAGTGAGTTTGAGTCTTTGTTTTTATGCGAGTTCAGGAACCAAGTCAAAAGAAGCACAAATTGGGGAGAGGGGGGCAGATAAAATATTTAATCTGCAACTTAATGTTTAAGGCTGTGGGGTGTGGGGGTCTTCAGGACCCACTCAAGTGTGGGTCTTCAGGAGCGACTTTGGGATTGTGGAAAGTAATAAAGGCAGACAGGCAGACAGTGGGCACAGGGGCTCCTCGTCCCATGTCAGGAGCGAGAGAGTGAATGTATTTTCCAGTGGGTATATATAATGGGCTTACAGATCTTTCAAAAGGCATACATGTCATCCAGTAAACATATTACATAGTCTATAGAAAATACCATAAGCGGGTAGCATAATAAATAGACAATGAAGGGAGTCACCATTTGCTGGATTCCAATAGCTAACCTGTGGTTAGCAGCCAAACATATAGCCAACTGTGCCATCAGGACTCCTGATTTTTGCACAATAGTTCTCATTTCTGTGGTTTTTAAAATATTTTGTTTTTGTTTTCCAGTTAACAAATTGGAACTGCCTGCTATTCTGTTCCTAAAACAGGTGAAGTGATACTTGGGGAAAGTTTCAAGTTCAGGGAATTTGTACCGTTCAAATACATCTTTGGATCAAAGGACACCATGTAAAGTATAACTCGACCTAAATATTTAGTACAACACAAACAGCTTTAAATTAACCAGTGTGCACTTCCTCTGTCTCAGGCTAGCTAGTACTATGTTGAACTACCCTGATTTTCTTATGGGTCAACGAAGTGAAGTGCGACGTATGTCATTTGTTCTGTACCCAAAAGTCAGCGTTCCTCGATGCCACTTTTGGAACCAGCAGGTATAATATACCCAGGACCAAGTCTAACACTTAAGGCACCAAAACATGTGTTGGTCAGTGTGATTGACAGTGCTCCCTTTCTAGATTATCACGTATTTTGCAAATAATTTCACCATAATCAGGCAACTTTTACCCTTAGGGAACTAAGTACATGGTCTCGAATTTTCTTGGTCCTAATCCCATAAACAATAGGATTCAAAAAGGGGGGGACCAAAAGATACATATTGGCAATGAAGATATGTATTTGGGGAGCCACGTTGTGGCCAAAGCGATGGGTGAGGAAGGTAAAGACAGCTGTGGAGTAAAAAACAAGGATGACGCAGACGTGAGAGCCGCACGTGCCCAGGGCTTTCAGGCTGGCTTCCCGTGACGGAAGACGAAAGACTGCACGGAGAATGAGGACATAAGAGACAGCAATAAAAAAGCCATCACAGCAACCAATGACAGAGGCCACACTGAGGCTGTATCGCTTGGTAGCCCCTGTGTCCACACATGCCAGTTTCACCACAGCCATGAACTCACAGTAAGTGTGAGCAATGATGCGCGTTCTGCAGTAGGGCAATCGCCTCAGCAGAATAGGATGTGGCGAAAAGAAAGCCACGCCCCGGAGGACCACAGCAGCTCCCATTTTGGCGATGCGAGTGTGGGTGAGAATGGTGGCATGGCGCAGCGGATCACAGATGGCCACGTAACGGTCAATGGCCATGGCCAGGAAGAAGCCCGATTCCATGGCGGTAAAGCTGTGGATGAAGAACATCTGGGTCAGGCAAGCATCGAAGGCAATTTCATGGGCTCCGAGCCAGAAGAGACAAAGCATGCGGGGGAGCGTCGATGTGGAGAGGACCAGGTCCGTGAGCGACAACATGCACAGGAAGAGAAACATCGGCTCATGGAGACTTCGCTCTGCCCTCACCACTGCCAGGATGGTCATGTTCCCCGCCACGGCTACCACATACATGGAGCAGAAGGGGATCCCAACCCAGACATGGAGGTGCTCTAGTCCTGGGATGCCCAACAGCAAAAACGTCATAGAAGAGGGACGGGAAGTATTAAAAGGAAGCATTTTATTTTTTGAATGTTTCTTTTTCCTTTTGTTTTCTATTGGGACTTCCAAAGAGAACGTTGCTGTGCAGGATGACTGCGATCACGGACTGAAAAAACAGCAGTCTTGTTCTGGAGGACCCTTAGCATTCTGTTGCTAAAAAATAAAATCCAAACATTGAATTGATAACACGCCTACTGCCATGTAGTTGATTCTTACTCATAGATATACTAAAAGATTATGAGAATCGTCCCGTAATTTCTGAGGCTGTAAATTTTAAGTGAACAGATTGCTTGATCTATCTCTCACTCACTAGCTAGTTGATTTTTATAGCCGAATTTGCAGTTCGTTGGTCAACAATGAACCCCCTGTATCAAAAATGCTCCTAAAACCCATAACACGGGCATCACAATTCACTAAAGCCAAGTTATGAACATCAGTGGCATATTGAATTACTGTGTTCAGAAATACAAAAGATAGTGTGTACATTATTTTATATCACCATAGGGACCATATTAATCATCTTGCCCATTAACTGGCACTAAAGGATATTTTAAATAGCTGTACTTAATTTAGCAAATATTTATTGAGCAGTTATTATTTTTAAAATAGTGACTGCCCTGGTAATAATTAAGTGAACATATCAATAATCTTCCCATGGATTTTTCCCTTAAGAAAAAAAAGTAAACCAATAATATCTTTGAGTGACTGGAGTTTTGGGCATTAGACTGTAATATTTAAGCTGATAGATTAAGGATAGCACCCTAAATATAATGAGACTGAGATACAGTTCTAGAAATCTGTTTTATAAAATAAGAACATTTCTATCAACAGGAACAAATCAGAAAGGGTTACAGACATTAGTAAGGGCTTATTGGGAGATGAAGTCAGTTTTTAGCATTGCCAGTTTCTTCATAGCTTCATTTTTTCTCTGTCTAGTTTACAGAAATGTCCATTGCATCCACAATGATCTGGAAAATTTCATAAATTTCATTTTCTCCTGTCATAATTTTCTGACAAATATCTAGTTTGCCATTAACTATATGGGTTTGAGGCCTGTCATAGGCAATAATACTATACCTTGCAATATTTTTTCATATGTATCACATTGCACTAGACGAGACGTGAATCACAAGTCCTCTGGACTCCAATTTAGTGTACACGACTTTTCGCTGCATAGCTAACGTGTTCTGGTTTTACCTCAAGTACCTGATTCAACATTGATTATGCTAGGTGCACGGTAAATATTGACACCATGGATTTATGACCTTTCATAGACTGAAGCTTGAAAAGTGTATGTTCTCTTATATAGAAAATCACACCTTAACAGAAACTTAGTCTAAAGGATCTAAACTTCTCTCGTTAGCTTGCTTTCATATCTGTGACAGTTTTTAGGAAGGAAGACTTTGGGGCACTTCTCCTTTGAACCCTCAGTCAACATTTTATTTTGTTCGTTCAGTGAGCTGTCCATGACTAGGAGTGAAGCTTTCATGGAGTTTTAGAAAGGACCAGGCTTTAGGAAGAAGAATGTACAGTTCATAATGTGAATGACTTAGAAATAAAGACTTGTTACTTCTCAGAAATGACATAAAGGTAAAATCTGGGGAAACAAACCTTAGGAGTCACATAGGGTTTGTGGTCCACTGATAATGAAAAGTTTAAGGGTTGAGCCCTCCCAGCAGCAGTGTGGAAGAAAAGGCCTTGGTATCTGCTTCTGTAAAAATTACAATTCAGGACACTCTATGGAGTAGTTGTACTCTGTAGCACATAGGGCACCTTGAGTTGAGATTGATTCGACTACAAAAGAAAATACCACCAACATGTGTTCTTTAAATCCAATAGATGTAATTGGAGAGGATAATGATGTCCCTAAATTTACCCCACTCATTACTTTCCTAACCTCAATATTTCAGATTTAGGCCATTTCTCTGTGCAGATTAACCGTTACCTATCTTCTTCCTTTATGCCTCCAGAAACCTGCATTGGAACTTGCGGAGGAGTTCATTTACTGGAATCATAAATCAACTAGTGATGCCTAAAGTAATCAGTTACTGATGCAGATTTCTGGACTTCTTGTTGCCAGTGGAGTTGATTCAGATGCACTGACCCCCGATGTGTGCAGAGTAGAACCGCACTAGAGGATTTTCAGGCTAAGGCTTTCAGAAACAGATCGTCAGGCCTTACTTAAGGTCATAGCTGCTAGATATCTTTTTTTACATATCTCCCATAAAGGCAGTGAATTGAGTAATACTGCCATTGGCTCTTGAAGATGGTCTTTTCATATGTTAAACACACCCTTATCAAGATAAAATGCTTCCTCACCAATTACACAGTTATCTTTACACATGTTTGCCAGAATATTGTAAATATACTATATGTTCTCCTAATATCATTCTGACTAAATATTTTTGAGGCTATTACAATCATTAGAGTCTGATTTTAGAGGGAAAACCTGAGAAATTCAGATATGGAGTATCCTATGGGTTAGTATATAAAACAGACTTTAGTGGGTAATTTATAAATATGTTTTTTTTAAATAAACAAGTATATATAAATAAGATGGATGAAGACTGAGATTTATGCTGCTGTAAACAGTTAAAGTCTCAGAAATCCATGGGTGGGATGGGGTGGCTATGAGTCAGCATTGATTCAATGGCAGTGAGTTTTGGGGGTTTGGGGACATAAATAAGTAATTTATGAACACGTTACCCTGGGGTGAATTAGTCCTATCAAAATTATAGCAGGTGATAAAATTATGTTTGATGAATCAGGGTGTGTCTACTTAAGTAAAGGGAGCTTTTGTATCTTGATAAAGCATGCTATCATATTAATCGATTTGTGCATTCACATTTCTAGGTAGTATAAACAGTTAAATTTTAGACTACAAGCCCAAAAGATTGGTGGTTCTGACCCTTTCAAGACAGCACGGAAGACAGGTGTGGTCATCTGTTTCCAGAAGTCACACCTTGAAAACTGGATAGCATTTAACCCAAGCAGAACATGTCATAGTTTGAACCCAAACAGAGGCAACTCTGAAGACAGGCTTGCATCTCTGCTTCCAAAAGGTCACAGCTTTGAAAAGACTATGAAGTAGTACTAATCTGCACAGGTGGATAGCCACGAGTTGCAATGAACTTGACAGCAGCTGACACCACCATCACCACCAAGGAAAAAAGTAGAAACCAAGTTTCATCAGGAAGCTACATGATAAGGTCATGAAAGAAAATACAGTCTTTGGGAATTCAAGTCTACTAAACTGACTCAGGAGAAATAAATTTCTATGGTTAAACAAGCTTCCTGCAATGACACGGACACTCACATAACCCAAAGGATGTTTATTGCCTAATGTCTGGACCCATATATGTAACACTTCAGGTGCTCAGTAAATATAGGTTGGATGCATAAATACAATGCAGAACATGCGAAGAACAGAAGTGAAAGGTATAGACAGAACCTACTCATTGATACACTTGCAATCCAAACATTGTTGTTGAACAAACGTGGGATCCCAGTGATCTCTTCCTCTAAACCATACTTACCGGGAACATTGGATTCAGAGGTCATTCGCTGTCCATGTATTTTTAGTTCTTCAAGGAAGTCTACAAAAGAGAAGAGAATTCTCACTTCTATGTTATCCTTAAAAAAGATCTTTGCCTCCTAAAATCCAGTTGCCTCATCATGTCACCCATGAAGATTAAGAAACGTTTATTCCCTCTGCGCACAATATTTTATTTTGTCTATTGAATTTAGGTAATTTGGAAACTAAGATGGTGTTTGGAGAAACCGATTGGTCTCATGTTCTTTTTTATTTTATTTTTCTAAGATCACTTAGGCTAACCTTTATCTCTCTATTCCTCTCTATTTTTATAATAACCCTAACTAGCTCAAACATGAAACTGATTCAGAGCCAAGAAGTAATCCAAATATGTGGTAGTTATATGTAGCACTTTAATCATGGTAATCTCAAGGGATATGAGAAAATCACAGTTGATACACATAGGTCTCAATGGGATCATTGGCAGAAAGGAGATTGTTTTACACAATTGGTGATAATTGATAATCTGCATAATTGCTGGCTAAGTAACTTGCCTGCGTATTTCCTTGGGTTTATACCTATCTATGTAGTTGTACCTCTGTACTTTTATATAATTTGTTTGCCACTTTAGGAAGGTCAATAATGAAGAAGATTTTTAAACAAACAAAAACAGGAAAAATATTTATTTTTTGGTCAACACTTTAATTTTAATCTGAAACATATAGCAGATGCCTGTTGTCAATACAGTATTGTGCTATCAACGGGGATAAAAAGGGATAGATGTGAGAAACACATTTGGGCAAAAGGATGTTGTATATATGAATATGATTTAATTTGCTGAGTCAATAGATATTTGCTGAACACCTGTTTTGTATGGGCTTTCCCAGTAAATATGGAAAGTATGGGTCTTAAAAATATTCTTTTAAAATATCTGTTCATGTTGTTTACTTGGTGCATGTAAAGCAGAATGAAACAATGCCTGGTCCTATGACACCTATTACTTATGTTTGAGTCCATTGTTACAACCACTGTGCCAATCCATCTTATTAAGGGCCTTCAACATTTTCATTTACCCATCATTTTACCAAGTATGATGTTTTTTCCCTTGAATTAGTCTCTTCCAATAGCAAGTCTACTAACATCTTTGATTCTATGAGGACCATTCCGGCTGTAATTCTTTTGCGACACATTTGTTTGTTCTTCTGGCAGTCCGTGATATTGTCAAGATTCTTCCCTAACACTCACTATATTTTAAATGCATTTCTTGACTGCTGCTATCATGAACATTAATTGTGAATCCAATGAAAATGAAGTCATTGACAACTTCTATATTTTCTCCATTTATCACCATGGTGTCTATTGGTGCTCTCATGAGGGTTTGGTTTTTCTTTAAATTGAGTTGCAAACCATACTGAAGGCTCCGGTCCATGATCTTCATCAGCGAGGGCCTCAAGTCCTTCCAGGTTTCAGCACGCAAGGTTGTGTC